TCCACAAATAAACAAAAATCTCGAAATTAATTTTTAGTTGACGTTACTCTACGACTTTTGACAGAGTCTGAAGATGATACGGACTTTAAAAATATGCGGATATCATTGGCTGTGCATGGTAAGGCAAAACAACGTATGCCTAGCGTGAGACCTAGTCAGTCATATATACATATAAAACTTCGTATAAGCAGCTAGTGTAGGTGCAAGTCCTTCATCATGTGGACCAAAACCGTTTTGATCTTCCCTGCAGCTGTTTTGATGATATGCAGTGGTTGTCTGTTGCCAGGAGTACCACAGCGTGCACAACTTATTCCAGATAGAATGAAAGGTCAGTCAGATGCCTGACTCAGCTTGGTATCAAATGCTTTTAGCATTAAGGTTAAATTTCCTGCCTTTTTCCAAACGAAAAAATATTTACAAAAACACTGTATTTACAGAGAAATCGCCCCGCGCATTCAATAGCTTAGTTTATTAAATTTTCTTCTTTAGCATAGCAATTTATCCCAGATATTGTGTGTTTGTGTTTCCGTGTAGATGGAAAGGCTTGCCTCATTGCAATTTATACAAGATTGAATTACTAATGATGCCTTTGAAAAATTGTATAAGAATATTGTTTTTATCTTGTGCTGTGTTTGCCTGTTAAGTACCAGGGCCCTTGTCATTTACGGACAAATAATTCATGTTATTTGTGGTATTGTTTAAGGTGTTAATATAAATTTTTTTATCCGGTTCTGAAATAATTCACTGGATTATGCTCTGGTTCATATGTCGGAAACCGCAAAGAGACCGTAGGGGGACCCACCAAGGAGCCGAACCCCTCGAAGCTGCTTTACGCAGCACCAGAATGTCGGCCAAACACGTGTTTAAGATTTTAGTCAGTATCTTTCACGTATACGTTTCATATTACTTGCAGTACAATTCGTTTGTAGAATGGGTATTACGTGGTTATTCCACAGTATCCGATTATCTCCGACTCAGGTGTTCATTGAAATTACAGGTTTGAATCTAAGAGGTCATGTTCCGGAGACTTAACTCCATGTCTTGCACTGAATAATTCCTGAAATTATTCGCCCAATACATATATATATATATATATATTATGGTGAAGTGACGCTCACTGAGTGAGCCACAAGACATAATCGTCCCGTTGTGCCATGGCGTTCAATCTCGAAACCCCACAGGCAGTCGCACAGCGACTAGTAAAGTGGGCATATGGTGGAATAACGACAAAGACAAGGGGGACCGGAATGAACATTAATGGCTTATTAGTTGTCATCAGCCAGTGATATGCAGTCCCAAGTGTGAACCACCTGGGATTTGAAGCCGTGATCTTTGGTTATTGAGTAGACTGCTCGACCAAAGAGCCACGAGCTCATTGTCCTGTCGGTTGTGATCAGGAATATTAATTATGATGAAGTGGCGCTCACTGATCAAGTCACTTCATCACCACTTTGGTCTCCATTTTCATTGTCGATATTCCACCATATGCGTACGTTACTAGTCGCCATGCGACCGCCCGCGAGGCTTTGAGATTGTGTCCTAAAGCACAACGGGACGAGCGTGTCACGTGACTTGATCAGTGCGCGAGACTTCAGTATAATTAATAATTTATTGGCCTCACGAAGCAAACAAGCTCCGTATGGGCGGCAGAGGTCACGAACAGGCAGCCAATTACCAGGCCGGCGTCGGCCAGGTCATAATAGCAACTAGGAGGGAGGACAGAGAATATGGGTAGATTGATACACTACTGTTTCGGGAGCCGCAGCTTTATAAAACACAGCAGACTGTCCAGACAAACCATCAAGTCAACGGCAAATCAACCGAAAGTCTGTCGAACACTGCCATATATAACTCTTATCTTGCTACCGTTGGGTATCGGCATAGCCCACAAAGCCGAAGCGACATCTAGACGTATGGTCATGAGACCAAAAACACCTCTGTCATGAGGCGAAACAGCCAACGTCGTCTATCGGATCCCGTGTAGTTCCTGAGAAGTAAACTACGTTTGAGACACCGGGAAAAGATTACAGAACAGCATGGACGAACATGCAAGGTCGCTACGAAGAAATACTTAGCTTTCGCTGGTGGCGAAACACTGCTCAGCTTTTGGCTACGCCTTCACTTTCCAAGACGTTGAAGTCTTGGGTCAAGGGAGCGATCAAGCGGTCTTGGAGACGTTTGAAGCACGGCACACCACACCTGCTTCGATTCCCCGCTGCGTAACTCTGCCGGCTGCCTACCAAGTCCTACTAGTGAAGTTCAATAAGCAGGGTTACCGCTATTCCATCGCAAAGTGGTCAGTTTGGCTTACGTATTTTGCTACTTTACAAAAAAGTTCGTATTTTTCTAAGTCGAACAGACCCATATTTTACTCATAGTTAACGTACAGAAGGGCAATTTGATCAGCCTTCGCCCGTTTTGTTAAATTCTAATATATAACAATTGTGCCGTTGATATTTACAACAATTTTCTACATAATCTCCTCTAAAATGCCGATTTGACATTCTAAGCGATGTTTCGTTCATTATGCTTGAAGTTGAAGTTTGCAGACTTCCCTTGGAATCAGGGCGTTGCGATGAACCATATCCGAGATTCGGCTTTGACGTTGTCACGGGAAGGTGTGAACTCTTCACTTACAACGGATGTGACGGCAACATCAACAACTTCGGAAGTCTTGAAGAATGTCAAAATTACTGTGAATAAATATAATCCTGTGTGGGACAGATCCCAAAGGAATATCGACTTCTTACTTAAATGCAGTCATCGTATTGTCTTTGGAGAAGCTTAAGAAGCAACCTCTTGTATCGCGTTCGTCGACTGAATAGCCAAGGGAAAGTGGAGTCGTTGTTATTCTTCTAATAATCGTGTTCGTCCTCTCAACCGTACTTCGCATTTGGACAAAGAAGTTCGCTCTAAACACGCTTGCGATGCTGCACTCGTTGACAAATAGACATTGTCCAGCAAAAGTGGCCGTATGGTTTGGCTCATGATTGTGTTTAAAAAAGCCTGATTAGGCACTAATGACCGATGGCGTGATTTATAAAATTCTATCAAATACATAGTCACTGTAAACTGCGACAATTTTGATATAAAAATTCTACTATTTTATTACTGTGCCTACAAAACAGTGATGTTATCAGTACGGAAGATCTGAATTCAGGAATTCCGCCGCATCGTATAACAGCTAATGGAAAAATCGTTATCGTTAGGTCCCAGTGACAACCACGTGTACCATCATGTCAAACACTTCCCTAATGGAATCGAAAAATATTGCTATTGAGTAGGGTGACGATGGAACCGACTCGAATGCATTTTTGCCAGCCCCGAATACAGTACGAAAAATTACAAAACTTGTGGTGAACCTCACAAATTCAAATCAAGAGTTCAACAGATTTTTCAGTACAGTTTCATATATTTAAGGCTATGAGGTATTGCCCTTCATGACACTTCGTAAAGCCGGTCGATGACGAGGTCGCAGATTGTGAATGGGCGGTTTAGTTTCGGTTCCGATGAGCTCAATTCATTAAAGACAGTGACTGACTGTCGCTGGCGTTGATATATAACGTTCCTACAGCATCTTGGGCACAGGAACACTGAGTCGTGCGTGAATTACTTCATAATGATAGTAGAAATGTGTTTAATCCACCGCATTCTCTCTTCCCTCATCCCCCCAAGCCCTATGTCGGCAGTCAAAAGGACCGGAGGCAGGATCGGGTGAAGTGGCTGACAAAGTTAGGCAGTCTGTCTGCACATGCGGACGCCTTATCCGAGAGCGATAAAACAAGGTTTTGTAGGAACAAAAAAGGTGTCGACTCGGGTTCCAGTTGAAGGACGCCACAAAGGCCACATTGAGCTACAGCCATTACAGCATGACTCACCATCTACAGAGGGTGACCGAGTTTTTCCGTCAGCTGAGAACTTTCAGACCCATGACGTTTGTGCGCCTCGGTAGATTCAAGCACGCCGGATTTAATAGGGTGAGAGATGAGCTGAAGTGCACTGGAATAGATGTCCCTAGGTTTCGAACCCCTATCTTTTTCCTCGGCTCTACATCAGTCGATTTTCTGAGCTGACCTACCAACTAATGCAGAGATCAGGCCCAGTTTCTGACAGCGATGAGTCCGACTACGCGTGCTGAAAACGAATTTCCCCTACGCACATCGCATCCTCTTTTAACATGGAGAACAGCGGCTCGGATCCCGCTGGTGTTGAAATGCCATAGAGGTTACATAGTGAAGAAGGGGGAGAACACAGTTCTCGCCTACATGACTGCTGCTGCTTTAGTGCTTGTGACCGGCGATCTGAGGTGGGAGCGGATACGATGAATATGTTGGTGGGGAGATGTAACTTAGCTGCGGTGGTTACGACTAATTCGTATGGAGGCGCATCGGACCGAGTTTGCCCATGACTCAACTGGATATGCGTAGAGAGTTGACGCAACGGCGAAAAGTGTAGACAGTGCTCCAGCTACGGAACTTTCCAGCTTTAAGGCGACAGATGCTTAGTGCGTACGTGTGGTCGCAATGACGACAGATTGTGATCTAGCCCGCGGGACTGGTATTGTGGGCAATGGTGGTAGTATCGATGGTTAACGAGGCGTCGAGATGTTCGTCACCGGTAGGGGGAGTGATGGATTCGTTAGTATTCAACGAGAAGTTGTGCGCTGAGTCGTCGACCTCACTCTTCTTTCCCATTCCCACACCCCAGCCACTGTCCGAGCCGATCAGCAGACTGGAGTGGGGAATGGGGACGGTGGCTGGCATGGTCGACTGAACTTGTCTGCGTCCGCCACGTGCACGACCTGGCCCCACATACACGCAAGAACACACACCGGGATTTCACACAACAGCCGTTGAACGGCCTGTCTCTCACTCGCGTCAGAGGGCCGTGGAAGGCGCTGTTTCAGCCCGTCTCCCAGCCCACCAGTCCGCCACTCCACACAACACACACACAACGGGACGGCCTGCGTGGACCGAGTGGGGCCTCAATCGGCAAACTTTCTATCCACGACGCTTGACGTGTCGGCGCAGCCTTAGCTGAAGATGGTGGCGACTGCGGTAGAAAGCAGCTCTGTTGTCGTCGGTGGAGTGGTGTACGTAGGCTTTTTGTAGGCAGTTCTTCTCGACGAGCAGATTGCTGATGGCGGCGTCGTTGTCGTCGAACCAGTCCTGATGTTGGCGCCATGCGCGACCGAGGACGGCTAGCGCCGTTGACTGGACCGTGTCTCGCAGTGGACTCCAGCGGTTCGCCATGGAAGCGTTCTCGGCAGCGGCGGCGTCGGCGTCGGCAGCGATTGGAAGGTTGTCTAGCCGTTGAGCTAACTCATTGCCTAAATGAAGATAGTTAGCGGGCAAAGACAACAAGGCAATATTCAGCTTACCTGGGGGTCGCTTAACTTGTGGTCTCCTGCGAGGCTGTAGGCGAATACACATCTTCGAGATGACGAGGCAATGGTCGGTCCACCCGTCAGCGCCCGCGATCGCCTTTGTCCCCAGCACGTCCCGCTGATCTCGCCTCCGAACGAGGACATAGTACAGCGGGTGCCACTGACGCGACCGAGGATGCCTCCAGGTGGCCTTCTCTCGCTACGGCAGACAGAAGAAGGTGTTCTCCAGGTGCCTCTCCAGGCAGCACGTTCTGTGCCGACGCGGGCGCTGAAGTTCCCAAGGACAATCAACTTGTCCACCTTCGACACAGTCGCCAAGAGGGTGTGCAGGTCCTCGTAGAATTTGTCTCCTGCGGCGGAGGCGTCGTGGCTGGTCAACGGCGGAACTTAAGCTCTGATGATGGTGGTGAATTTCCCCCCCCCCCCGCCGGAGAGGCAGGCGGAGGCTCATCAGGCGATCGTTAATGTCCTGAGGCAAACAGAGCAGTGCTCCCACGATGTCGTTCCGGATGGCGCAGGCGACACCCGAGTCTCGTTGCTCTGCCCTGAGATGACCACTCCAGAAGAAGGTGTAACCGGCACCCACCTCCTCCATTTGGCCTTGTTCGGAGAATGGAGTATCTCTGGGTGCGGCGATGTCCAACTTGTAGCGCGCCAGTTCTCGTGCCACTAGAGCCGTTCTCCGTTCCGGTCGGTCGTTCGTCGGATTGTCTAAAAGGCAACGAACATTCCAGGCTGCCAGAGTGGGCGGACTCATCCTGCCAGTCTGGCGACGAGTGGGGCGGGAAGGAGATGGAGAGAAGATGGCGAAGGAGAAGAATAGGCAGATGAAGAGGAGGAAGAGGTAGGATGAGGAGAACGAGTAGTGTTGTTGTTGTAATTTCGATTTTGCTTGTTTCGATTGTGAGTTTAACGTCTGCGACCACGGTCAGTCTGCAGACGACGTGGTTCACCAACAATCTTTAGGCCAGTTTTTCCAGGCCCCCTCCGAAGAGAAGCAGTGTCCCCCCACCCTGAATAGGGTTGCTTTTAATGTGCCTGCGCGGCCGAACTCGAGTAGGGGCCACGCTTTTTTGGTAGTGGAAGAAGGACTCGAATTTGCCAATGGCTTACGACATCACTGTAAGCCCGCGGTCTCCTACGGTGCACCAGATGGGCGCGTCTCGGCAATGCCGTTTCGGAGATCCATCCCGGCACCGGCTGACCAGCGGCGTACCAGGCGGAGCCTCGACTCGACGATGATGCCGATGCGACATTCTATCAACCCCCTGATCAGCAGCGTACCAGACGGAGCCTCCTAACGACGGCGCCAACACGGTGTTCCATCCGACCAACCGTCCAGCGGACTCCGCAGTACCCTGTACACGTGGCATCCGCGCACCGTAAGTGACCGCCCTCACTTGTTTTAGCCCGCAGGTCGAGGCGGTTGCTCGAGGTGTGGCCGCTGAGCAGAGCCCAGTTACGTGGAGCCACAAGCGAGAGTTGGGTGCCAGCAAATAGACGCTAGGCGTAGTCTCACCTGAAGGCAAGTTAGTGACCACTACGACCTTCACGTGAAACCATCGCTGGACATCTTTACAACCCCCCCCCCACACACACACACACGCACACACGACAGTTCGGTCGTCGATTTCGAAAATGTCCACCGTGTGTCCCACAAACTGCGTTGTGGGAGCAGGGACGGTGCCATGCGCAGGGGTGTATAGTGCCAGTAGACTTGCGTTGCATCTCCCTACACACTCTCCTCCTCCCTCGCCTGAGCCCGTCGTTAAGACAGAGTCAAGAAGACCGGAGACAAGGGAGGCCGCAGGCGGATGGCTCGGGCGGATCCTCACCTTGGCGTTCTATCAGACCCCCTGGTTCACACAATAATAACCAGGATTTTGACAAACACAACCGAGAGTGTAGACTGGCACTGACGAGGCCGCAACTAGGCGTGCCGCCAACGCCTATATCAGAACCCAGGCTGTGGTGGGAGTGCCATAAAAGCCACTTTAAGAAGGAGCCATTGCAGCCTGACTCTCAGACCACCGCCAGTCAAGGGGGAGGACGAAGTTATCCTGCCAGCTGGCAAATTTCCAAGTCACGGCTTTTACCGCACCGTGATAGCTTCAAACTTGCCAGATTGTTTATAGTGAGGAAGAAGTGCGCTGAGTCCTCGACCTCTCTCTTCCTTTCCACTCCGACACCCCGGCCACTGTCCGAGCCGGTCAGCGAAATGGGCGCAGTGGCTGTCATTTTCGACTGAGCATGTCTGCATGCGCCACGTGCACGACCTGGCCCCCGAGAAACACACATACACCAGGATTTCACACAGCGGTGGTTGAAAGGATGTCTCACATTTGCGAGAGAGCCGTGGAATGTGCTGTTTCAGCCCGTCTCCAGCCCTCCAGTCCGCCTCTCCACGCAACACACACACACAACGGGACGGAATGCGTGGACCGAGTGGGGGCGTCAATCAGCAACCGTCCTATCCAAGACGCTTGTAGTGTCGGGATAGCCTCAGACTAGTCACCCTTGCAGCCGAAGCCGCATGGGGACCGAGTCGAGATGCACACTTCCCACTTGCGTGGAAGGTGGCAGTTGGGTGCATGCGGTGGGTGAGTGTTGATGTGTGGTGGGGTAGTGACGGTGGAGAAGAAGGCAGGGCGGGAGGGTGTTGTGGTGTGTTGTAACCGGCGGTTGTCTACCGCAGGTCGTCGTGGATGCGCATGTGGCCGAATAGGCCTATACGATGCCTGAAAGTCCGAGGAGAGTGTGGGCAGTTAAGACGAGCGTGGTAGGTATAGTTTGGCGCTTCAGTCACTGGGTCGCTAGCCTCTGTGCGATGGATTTGCAAGTGGCCGACTAGGCCGATGCGTGACGTGAATATGCGTGGACACTCTGTGCATGAGAAGTCGGCGGTATCGGTGTCGGCTACAGAGGAGGCGGTGGTGGTGGGGATGGGCGCGCAGGGCGATGGGGCGAGGGTGAGGCTGGGCATGGTGGACGTGTTCGATGTGGTGGGTGTGTTGGAATTGCGGTCAATTCCACTCTCGTGGATGCGCATGTGGCCGAATAAGCCCATACGATGCATGAAAGTGCGAGGACATTGTGGGCAGTTGAGTCGAGTGTGGTGGGTGTAGGTTGGTGTTCTAGACATTGGTTCGCCAGTCTCTGTGCAATGGATTCGCAAATGACCGACTAGGCCGATGTGTAAGGTGAAGGTGCGGTCGCAGTGAGGGCAGGTGTAGTCCTGATCCTTATCGCTGGTGTCGGAGTCAGTAGGGGTGGTGTCGGTTGTTGTGTCAGGGTTGGTGATGTGCGAGACGCCCGCCTGAGCGGCCGTCGTTGGGAAAGAGGAGGAGGAGGATGGAAGTGGTGGTTCAGAAGAAATGTCAGAGTTAGTTGGCGGCGGAGAGGACGAGGAAGAGGCGGACGGGGGGACGATGGTTGGTGCAGTTCGAGAGGCGCAGTTAATCCGAAGATGTCCAGCAAGTCCGATTCGAGTCCGGAATGTCCGTTGGCATCGAGGACAAATTGGAAGCGGTTGTGCGTCGGCGTTCCAGACTGAGCGAATTTGTGGTTTGCGGGCTTCGCGTTTCGCTTTGGCGGCAGCGATGTGGTTGGCTTCGTAGATCGCAGCGCCTGTCTTCACTGTCCTCCTCCAGGTCGGTCGGTCGAGTGCGAGCTTTTCTTAGTTGGTCGTGTTGATTTGCAGGCGCTTCAGGGAGGACTCCAGCGTATCCTTGTATCGGAGAATTGGGCCTCCTTGGCGGCGAGAACACGTTGCGACGTCTCCGTAGAAGAGTCGTTTGGGTAGTCGCTCGTCGTCCATGCGCACCAGGTGGCCGCTCCAGCGCAGCTGCAGTTGTCTCAACATTGTGTAGATGCTGGGGATTCCCGTCCGTTCCAGCACATCAGTGTCGGGGATTCGATCCTGCCAGTTCAGCCTCAGGATCCGACGAAGACAACTGAGGTGGAAGTGGTTCAGACGGCGTGCCTGCTTTGTGTACACTGTCCAGGTTTCCGCGCCATACAGTAGTGTCGGCAGGATGACGGCCTTGTACATCTTCAGCTTCGTGCTCAGTTGAAGACCGTGACGATTCCAAACTGTGCTTTGGAGGCGACCGAAGGTTTGACTGGTCTTCGAGATCCTGTTGATGACTTCGTCATCGATGTTGGTGTTGCGGGAGAGAGTACTGCCCAGGTACGGGAAGTTCTCCATCACTTGCAGTTGGGTTCCGCCCACGCTGATTTGCAGCACGTTGGGGGCTGTGGCTGAGTTGGGTGGCGGTTGGTGCATCACCACCGTTTTCTGCGTGTTAATGACCAGCCAAAAGTTCTCGCACCCGGCACAGAACAGGTCCATGCTCCGTTGCATCTCCTCTTCCGAGGTGCGGTTCAGGGCACAGTCGTCGGTGAAGAGAAGTTCATGAACTGTGGTTGTGGATACGCGCGAATGGAAGTGCATCCGTCGTTGATTGAGAAGATGACCGTCCGTACTGTAGGCGATGCGGATTCCAGTGCCCTTCAAAATTCCATTATAATTCATGGAGAACATGTACAAATATATACCAAACGAGTAAAAGATGGCATGTTTCAGGCATTTTCTCCACGAATTATATCTTGAAATTTGATAATGAATACAAAAAATTCATGCTTCATATGTAGTCATTTGTGTCGATAATGTTTTCTGCAGGGGGTCAAAAAGAGATGTATTTAAGAATCATGTCGTGGCGTGTCCGAAACGCCATACGATTACGAATTTCGGCCAACGTTTCACGAGATCGGTCACTCACTAAACTCTCTTATGCGCTGATTTTACTCGTGCATAATATTATGCCTCGATGTTTTTGTCCCCTTTAATACTCTCGCAGATGCCCCACTATATCACAATTCGGCCAACTACCTCAAGCGTGTTGTGTTAAATTTGAGTCCCGTATTCAAGCTCGCATCATTCTACATTATTGGGCCTTCCAAAAATCTACTCCATCTCTAAACGACACCGTTACGTATGCCTGGACTTTGGAACATGTCCGCACAAAAAATTTGTCTGCTACAGACTTGCGTTTCTTATACTATTTTCGTCTTCCTTAAACAACGGGATAGCCACTTTACAACGTTTTTTAATGCAACTTTTGATATTTGTTGTCCTCTTAATATTTTTTTGTTAAAACCGGCTAGAATTTCTTCTCTATATCTGAAATTGTAATGGCGCAAATGGACCTCCTCTACAAGCAAGTTTTACGTGAGAGGCTGAAGGACGTTAACATCTTTGTAAAGGAGGAGATTTCAAGACGTAATGAAGTTTTTGTTAGTCATCATTTTACCTCCTATTCCCCTTCTTCCTATCCTCCTTCCAATGCTGAAATTTGGAAGAATCTCAATGGCGTCTCACTGGCCATCGTAGCATACTGGTAAATCATGATGCTAACTCAGACTCCATATTCACTACAACACTTATCTCCCTTTAAACGACATTTCCCTCTCACCATGTGTATTCCAACCTGTGTCCTTGACAACAGTAGACAAACACCTTAAAGAGGTGGAGGATCAACAGCTGCGGGACCGGATGGTGTCTCAGCTTTCGTTCTTACGTCTTGCTGCTCTTATATAGCCCCTGTTTTAATACGCCATAGTAACATCCTTCTCATGGAGCCCAACATTCCTCACACAAGGCACACACTGAGAACCATTATTATGGCCACAAGCTCTTCAAAGTGTGGTTCTAAATCATTTTGTCAAATGGCATGCTCTACCGCACCATTAAAGCTTGCTGAATCAATTGCTCTCGATATTATGAAGTCATTCTCTTCCAGTTTTTCGAATCCCTTACAATTTCCGTAGAAAACCGAGCCTAGTACCTTAAATGTTGTTGCACTTCCGATTCACTCGGTGCCTAACGGAATTAGATAGATGTTGTCGCGAGTATGAAGGTGCGGTTCTTGACTACGTCTCCACATTCACTTAAGGCACGCGTCTTCTTCACCTTACCAAAACATTTGCTTGCGGCTTTCAGGGCTAGGTTATCTGTTGGATCCGGGATCAGCTTACTTCCCAAACGCAATTCGTCTAGTCTGGGAAGCAGAAATCTACAGCCCTTCCCAATGATCCAAGGCTCTCTTTTATCGTCTCACCTCTTCTCCCTCCACACTGATTATTTCGAATCCATAAACAGCTGTCTGATAGTTAAGTATGCTGATGATGTGGTTGTTGGCCGTCCATCCAATAATCAGACAAATCAGTCTCTGAATTGTTGTCTTGCCGCTGTCTCAGTATGGTCGCGGGAAAATTAAAGCGATTAAAATCAGATTAGTGTATTTTCCGACTGCGATGCTCCCTTTGCTTTGAATCCTTTGACATTCTTCTCAACGTCGAATCCACTTTCGAGTACCTTGGCATTGTTTTGTCATCAAGTTCTTCATGTCTCCCATATTGTGTCCCATTTCACTAAAGTTTATCAGCTTCTTTGTCTCTCTTCCACTGCCTGTGTTCATTATATCCATTAGTTGTTATTATCCAACGACAATACCTCGAACCTGTCAAGCAGTTTGCTGGTCGAATTCCGGATGACGCTGCCCTTCTTCTACATTCCTACTCAATTTCTCTGAAGTCCTTTAGACCCATGGTCTTGGCTTTCGACTTAGTTCTTGTCGTACATTGGCATTACAATATTCTGTATTGCCATTGCTGCCGCGCTGTCTTGCGTGGTAAGAAAGAGAAATACAAAAGCTAAAACCCGGTCTGATCTCATGATTGTCGTTGCTTTTGTGTAAAACCTTTGGTCACATGAGCGATTAATTATCTTATTTTCTGTCCACAATGAATTTAAAATTTTAAAATAAAACGAATTCATCTCCCTCTTCCTCTGTTGGTACGGACTACAGAACGCATCACGTTTAGGTGTTCGGAAGTCAACCCCTTAACTGACATCCAACTCTAAACTGCAGCTTTTCGATGCTGGGCCCTGTCTAGCGGTTGTACCTCTCTACTCCCCTCCATCGACCGTCTAAACAGTATGAGAATATCAGGCGTGTGTCCTCTCATCCGTTGGTCTACTTACGTTTCTTTTTCACCCGCCTCTTCCATATTAATAAGAAGCCGAACGTAGGGGGTTATATACAATTCCATAGACGACCCCAGATAACAACATCTGTCATACGACTGAACGAAGTCTTAGACCAGGGTGTATTTGGGCGCTCCCATCTAGAATATCTGAACTATCCCTTTTAGGTGCAAAACTGCCGACGCATTGCGGGTTCGGATGCCTATAACAGGCAACTACACAAGTGCTGGGAAGACACGCGTTTGCGAACTGACCGGAGCTCCTAACTGCCAAACGCGCCGTCAGAATCCTGCTCACGTCTTATTTCATTTACCTCACCAACTGGCTGGTAGTATGACTCTGATCGCTTGAACAGCGAGAAATATTCGTTCAATCTATGGCAACCTTCTAAGGAATTGGCCGAAATAGGAGTATAACACCACAAACTGGACTTCACTGTTCTCAGCTTGATTTTACTCACCGGATCTGAAAAGAAGGTTGTCAGCAACATCGTATGGGATGCTCACATAGAGGTAGAAAACGTGCTGCTTGCGTCGCACTTTGGAACAGGATACCTGCCTGCCGAAGGAAATCACCGACCGAAAGATAAATCTACGTGTGTCTCTTCGCTAAACAACATTAGCCACCATCTGCAGCGCCACCCATTCAAATTGTCAGCACCGGTGGGGTGAAGAATAAAACGTTCTGCGAAAACTCGCAAACCGTCCTACCGACTGCGCCGAATGCAGGCAAGATGAACATCCTCGATGACTTCACTGCAGACGTCGAACAGGCCATTCGCATACGCGAGGACGCTGAGTGTCGTGGAATAGCAACGACCTTATACAGAACAGTGTCTCATGCTGACCAATACCGCCATTAGTCTGCCGACTCGGGGGGACGGCAAAGTAGATATATCCCGCTTGCAACGCTATCAGCAGCTGGAGATTGTTCTTGTCCAGAGGCGAGACCGTTACAAGGCTCTAGTGGCGGGTACTATCTACGATGCTCATTGACTAGTTGACGAGGTATGAATTAGTCTGGCCTCGAAGTTGCAAACAACATAACGTCATGGATGTGCTTGCAGTTGTCCCACCGCGACAATAATTATAATAGAGAAGCGTGCTAGTCTACATTGCATAATGACTGATTTTTACTTTGTTTTCAATATTTATATTAGTAATTTATTTACGGGGGATACTGGCAAATCCTTATGTAGTTTGAGGTTGACGTTGCTCCATACGGAAGACAATCATATTCTTTAATGCCGTCTTTTTCATGGCATGAAAAAATATTAACTGAAGTGGCCACAATCAACTTGAAATTGAGGAAATAAGTAGGGATCCTTTTGTATGACTGCATCGTCACTTTATGTCGACTGTTTTAACCACTATTTAACTGTTTCATACTCAGTAGATATGTATCTATAATAAGCCAGCCTACGAAATCGCTCAAAAATCATTCAAATTTTGCAACTTCCAATGACTTTACCGCCCACTGATAATATCAATATTGAAAGCGTCCAGCCACACAAACGCTGCATGATCATCCTAAACCAAGGTTCAGAGTTGGCAGCGAGGTTACTTCCTGTTGCTACCTAAGTCAATTGGTCATACGCGTCTAAAGTACTTAGGGAATAAGTAGGGAAAGCAGGATTTTGTATTCCGTAAAATAGAATTATAAGGCATGATATTCGAAATGTAAGTAATTGACACGCTGAATGCATTAACAAGGCGTCGTTTCGATTGTCATCATCGATCTTGACTCCATATCGACTAATGTGACCTATTCCAAAATTAAATTATCCGTTAAGGAGGGGACAAACTTCAATCATCTCAGAAGTTAGACTTAGAGGGAGAGATATGAAATTAAATGGCTTTACAAGGCTACAGTCAGCATAACGACCCACATAGTCAAGTAACTCAAATCACATGTATGCTTGTTTGACAGCTCAGCAGCACAAACTGCATTCAAACCTAATTATGTAAGTCGGGTTTCGACTGTACCAGCATTCGGCGTCGGTGCAGCGGAAGTTTTAAGAGGGGCAATGTTGTTTATCAGGTTCGATTGATTCTCTACCAGAGACGTGAGGGATTAGAACTGCCGTTTACCAAAGGCCTACTCCTGGCATCCTCCGAGGATTTGGATCAATTTCCTCAACTTAATGATGTCTATGTGATATGCACTTTCTTCGTCACGATGAAATTAATATATCAACAGAGAATTTTGTTGAGTTACTTAACAAAAAAAAATGTGTCCCTATTTCGGCCGATGAGAATGTGATAGCACTACAGTTAGCTTTTTGAAACAAGCGCAAAGAAGACTATTTGGATTTGATGACGAGGACGTTCGCGCAGGACCTATGTCAAAGTTCCTAGAGTCCTGACTCTAAAGTAACTAATAATTTATTGACAAATATTATATGCATGTATGCGTCCTACTGTCGCATATCTCAAAATCAATGTTAGAAATGAAAACCCCTCCATTCTGTCATATCGCTTGTTATC